TTGTGTAGTTCATTGAATTTTAGCATTTTCAGATTTTTCATATAAAAAAAACAAATATATTTTATATATTAACCATATATTTTATATATTCGTCATTTCGATTTTTTTGAAAATATTTTTTTAACATTTTTTAAAATTTTTTTAACGGTTTTTTAATATATATTTTGTTACCTTTTTTTTTTAAATTTTTATAATCTTAATGAATTTATATATTCGTACTTACGAGGAATATGGTTTTTTGTTTAACATTTTTTTTATTTCTTTATAACATTAAATTCTAAAATTTTTCGATTTTTCATTTTTTCTTTCGATGTGTATACTTTCTAAAATATTTTTTAACATTTTTTGTTAAATATTATTATAATTACATTGAATTTTAGCTTTTTTCATATGCATATTATAATATATCCAATATAACCATACTCATCGTAAGTAATATAATATTAGCCCTTTCGATGAGTATGTGTTTTATCATTTTTAAAAATATTTTTTTCAATGACATTGGAGTTAATCATTTTTCGATTTTTTATAAAACAATATGTTGGTGTATATACAAGTATATACATAAGTATATATCAATGTATTGCATTTTAAGCATTTTCAGATTTTTCAAATATTTTATATATTCGTCTTTCCGATTTTTCGATATTTTTTCAATATTTTTTTAACACTTTGTAAAAAAAAATTATTTTGTTTTAGTTTTTTTAAACTTCTTATTTTTAAACGGTTTTTAAAATATTTTTTATGATGTCATAAAATTCTAGCATTTTCAAATCCTTCAGAAAAAATATGAAATATTTTATATTATATTATTCCTACTTTCGATGAATAAATATTTTTGATAATCCCATTAAATTTTTAAATGCTTAAATTTATCATCTATAAATATTGAATATTTGATATGTTTGTCCTTTCGATGAATGTGTTTTTTAAATATTTTTTAACATTTTTTAAAAATCATATAATAATTTCATATAGGTACATACCATAGACCTTTCGATGAATATTTTTATTAAAATATTTTTTTAACATTTTTTAAAGTGACATTGAAATTTAGTATTTTTCGATTTTTCATCGTTCGATGAATATGCCTTTTAAACATTTTTTTCTAATATTTTTTAAAATATGTTTTTTATATATAGAATATTTTATATGTTCGTTCTTTCGATGAATATGTTTTTTATCGTATGAAAAACATTTATTTCTTTGCATAAATTTTGTACTTTTACTTTATTAGCATTCTTCTATATTATTTCTATAATAATAGTAAAATTTATATATCTTTTTGAGTGAAATTCTTCATCACTCAGTTTTCCTTCGATTGTGTGAATTTTTATAATTCTTCCATAGTAATTTGAGAATGTCTGACATTATAGTATGAATTTTGGAAGGCAATACTTTACTTCCGTTCTATGAATAGTAAAGATAGTGTAAATTTGATTTCGCGCTTCTAAAATTGACTTAAACATTTTTATTTTTATAATATTTAAAAATATTTTCTTCATTAAAAACAAATCGTTTAATCTATGAATACATTACAGTTCAAAATAATTTTTTTTTGTATTCATACATTTGTATTTTTGCACCCAGAAACATTTTTTGAATCGCATATGTTTTATTAGTACAGTTGTCATTAACAGTATTTTTATTTTCTTCAATGAGACGAATTTTTTCATCCATTGGATGAATTTATGATTTTCAAAAAAAAAAAAAATTAAAAAATTTTATGTTACTCTTTGGCAAATCCACCAAACATTGTTTGCTGTTTTTTTTTTATAATTTCACTCTAATAATTATAATTTAAATTTTCTTCGATTAGACGAACTTTTGAGGCTTGTATTTGAAGCAATTTAGAAATAGAATAATAGAAAATCAGTTTTACAGTTCTTATTAGTCCTAAGGTTTTTGACAGCATGCTCTTAAATTTGCTTATGATTTTTCTTTCATTGAACGTATTTCTTGTATTTTTGATAAGATATATATTATATATTGATATTATATGTATATGGTATATTGCAATCAAAAATCAACTTTTAGAGCTATTCTCTATATATTTGCTATCTGATTATCATAATTTTTATATTCTATTTTATTTTATTTTATATTAAATGTTTTAATTTTTCAATTTTTTTTTTTTATTTTTTATTTTTTTTTTAATATATTTGTTTTGAGTTTTCTTTTCTATTCTATTTTTTATTTTTCAATATAATTTTATATTTTTGATTATATTTTATGTTTTATTATTTAAAGTTACCCTCAATAGCTTTTCGTGTTCGTCAATATCGTAAGGTATTTCATTCATTGTTTATATTGAAAGCTCATACAAACACGATTTTTGACGCTCTCGCTCTTTTACAGCTACTTGAATATACGATCCATTGAGAATTCAACAGCATAAGGCCAAAGAGAAAACGAAAGAGTAAAAATCAATCATTAAGCGCAAGTGATATATCTACGAATATCAAAACAATCATAAAGCAAATGAACAATTTGTGAACATTTTTGCACAGATACTTTTAAAAAGGCATTACCAATCGATACATTTTCATATATATCGATTATTAAACATTTCAAAATATTTTACGATATTTTCCTAGAAGTCAAACATCTTCGGTTGTTCTTATATGATTTCTCGAAGCAGCCAAGCGTCAAGCGCATAAAAAGCACTGACATTAAAAGTGAGCATTAATAAAAATACGTATGCGAAAAAGAGAGAGAGAGTGCACAAACGTGAGAGTATTAAGCGCATATATGGTATACATATGGTACAATATAGGTGACAACAAAATAGCGACCGAGTTTCCTAGTTGTGAATTCGAAGTGATTTAAATTTATAGAAAAAGCGAGGCGCAAATTTAAAAAAAGTATTATTTGTTCGCTATAAAGACAAAGCGCACCAGCGAAAGCTCAATAAACAGCTGCCAAGCTTAAAAGCTGCAGAGTGATTTGCGCCCATAAAAGAAGAGTGAAATTATAACGGCAGTCATTATCAACGCAATAGAAAAGCAATTTAGTACGGTATCATTAAAACAGTAACAATAAGGAACAAGAAATAAAAAATTAATTAAAAAAATAAAAACATTTACATACCAAATATACTACTATCACTACTACTACTACTATTACTACTATTTCTACTACCAAACTTAAGCAAGCTTGCGTGCCGCCCGTAAATAGTCGGTGCTGGCGCAGCGTTGCATTTCCAGCGCAAGCTATACATGAACTGACCACGTACAGTGTTTGCAGTATTATTACGTAAATATTTAAATACCAGAAAGTAATTAATAATATATTTAAAAAAATAATAAAAACATTTGTAACGATTTTTTCGGTGTTTGTGTATGTTTGTACTTTTCATAGCGCCTAAAAATATACTACAGTTCATAGCATATTTGAACATTAAAGAATTTATTCCACGAAAAGTACGCAACGAAAGCGTTGAATGTCTCGTAAGTCAAATAGGTGTACAAGTTTTCTATAAAACCACAAAAAATATTACAAAAACAAAAGGGAAAATCATTGTATGGATGTCTAAGATTTTAATGGCATAAAAGCGGAACTGATTTTATATATACATACATATATGTAACAGTTATACTAGAAAAAAGACTAAAATATATAAACAAATACTAGAAAAAAAAGAAACCATATTTTAAACACCAAAAGTGTTGTAAACAAGATTTTAGACGAAAGCGAAAACTTTTCGAAAACAAGCGTACTTCCAACGACTACAAAAGACGACGAATACAGGCACGTTATTACTGTGTAAGTGCGCGAATATAAATCGGTTAACATTAGCAGCTTAAAAAGGCCAAATTTAAACTTTTTAAACGAATAAAATTTACAAAAAAAAAAATCGAAGTCGTCAGGTAACCAAACCGCCAATGTGACAAGTGATTTTTGCACATTAAGTAGAAAGAAGTGATTTCAGCGCGTGAGTGAACATTTTTAAATAATTTCCAATATTTATAAAACTTTTCAATACTTACGTAAAATTTACGCCAACAAATAAGTGACTGCAATAAGTACGTAACTAGTTGAAAATAATATTTTAAAGTTATATGTAAGCTTTAAGTTTACTGAAAAAATAAACAAGTGCATGCAGAAACACGCAAAACAAATTAAAGTGAAAATTGGCAACAAAGCAAGTGGTGTGCGAGCGCGCTAAACAAAAATTGGCAACAGTGTTAACTGAAACTTGCGAAAGGCACCTTTAACCGTTGTGTACGCTGTAAAGTGTGTAAAGCAAACGAGTACGTAGTACTGTCGAGGGAGAGACAGTGGTGAGCAAAATTGCAACTGAACAGCCTGTAAAGTGATTTTATATAGCAACTATACAAAGAAATGAACTTATTTACTGATAAATAACAACACAACAAAACAACTGAAGCAGAGCAGCAAAACTGCAGCAGCCGACGTGCAAAAATATTAGGGTAAGTGCGAATCAACTATATTTCTCTCTTTCTCTAATGAATATTTTTTAGTTTTATATTTTTTCTACTATACTACAGATAATATATAGTATATTTTAAATATTTATAATAATATTTCAAAAACCTCAGCGGCACCTGGTATTAAACATTTACATTTGTTTTTCTCTATCCAACCCCGACACGGTTAGAGGAGAATATCCATGTATGTACTTTCGTTTCCTACGAAAACTGCTCATTTCTATTCTCTACCATGTGCCGACAATCGTATACAAATCTTATGCGCATAATTTTAACAGCATTTCATTTTTGGATTATATACTAAGGAACAAAAGTTAGCACTACTGCATGCCCGCAATAAGAAAAATTGAGTTGGAAATGCATTTCCTAAGTGTATAAATTAACGTAATAAATGCGCTGGCTAAATCTGCAGCTGTCAAGCGCCTTCGTTGGCGTTATATTTTAAACGCCCACGCATATGCAAAGCTGTTTTGTATACGGGAGAGGGCGTTGTCAGTAAAGAAAAATGCGCAGAGTTACTGAAAACTGCAGTAAATTTGAAGGTGCTGAAGAAGTTTGTAGGAAATTAAGTGAAAAAGCATTAAGTACTAAATCAAATAGAATTAAAGAGGGCAAGACGGAAGAGTTGAGAGAAGGAGAAACTATTTTCCGAACTTTTTCTAATAAACTCTCATAAACGGTAGATGTTAACCTTTATGTATATTTGCCTCTGTGGAAAAAGTGGAAAGCGCAGTGCTTCTACTTGTAATATGCTGATAAAAGCTTGTACACATGCTGCTTTGTTGCCAAATTTCTTTCTTTCTAACTGCTCCTATGACAATATTTTGCCAGTGCAAATAAGATATTTGAATTTTTCCGTATTATTTTAACGAAATTGAATAAAATTATTCGAAGACGAATATTTAGAAAATGTTATATTCAGCATTTTTCACTCTTTGCTTTTTGCTATGTATACGAACTTCTGTTTATGAATAATACTTTTTCTGGTCCCTAGAAAACAAAAATATTATATTCTGAATAATTATAGATCAGACCATTATAAGACACCTAGCGCTTCAGAAACTTGAAAAGTTTCTATTAGAGTCTTATTCTATTGGGGTTTCTAATACTGGCAGCTTTGCAAAAATCACTCGAAGAATCGCTTTTATCGCAAGAGCATGCAATAAAATATTTACGTTATCCACTATGAAATCCTAAAATAAAAGAGGTCTCGAGTGTCTCAATGAATTGTCGTCATATAATCTAACCTAAGCTAACCTCATACTTCAACGAAGCTAATTCAATATGCGTTCACGTCACTTTATTTAACTTAAGTAAATATTAGAATTCAGGTAATATAATATATTGCTGATTTAAGCCAACCTTACTTAACTTAACATGACACCACTTAACTTAGCTTAACATAACTTAACTTAGCTTAACCTAACATAACAACACCTGAATTAATTGACTTAACTTAACTTATCTTCACTTACCTTTGTTGACTTAAATCAACATAACAACATAACTTAGCTTAACATAACTTAGCTTAACATAACTTCACTTAACATAATATTACTTAATTTAACATAACATTAATTAAGTTAGGCTTAACGTAGCTTAACATAATTCACCTTACATTAATTAACTTAAATTAACATAGTTAAATTAAATTAATATAACTTAACATAACATCACCTGACTTAATTGGCTTAACTTAACTTTTCTTCACTTCACTTAATTGACTTAACTTAACTCAACATAACTTAGCTTAACATAACTTTTCTTAACATAATATTATTTAACTTAGCATAACATCCATTAAGTTAGACTTTACGTAACTTAACATAACTTAACTTACCTTAAATAACTTAAATTAACATAACTTAACATAACATCGCGTAACTTAACTTAACTTAACATAACCTCATTGAACTTAACTGAAACTATCCTAATTTTAACTGAGATGACGTCAGCATTTGTGGTTCTGTCTTTTATAATGAGATTCTCTAGACTTAATGCAAGCTATTTTTAGATTAGGTATGCACAAATTCAGAAAATCTTCTTCAATAAAATTTGCACAAAAAAAATGTTTGCACAAACTAGTCACTCTAGAGGAAATGTATGTGTGTATATATTCATAAAGAAAATATATATTCCAATATCCGAAGAAAGGTCCCTCTGAATGTTCATATGCGAGTATGGTACATGTGTATGAATAACTGTAAATACATTTCGTTTAGCAAAAGCATTTATAAGCTTGTATTCCAAGCATTTCCGGTTGTTTAAGGCGTCGCCGGCTTTTTACTAGGGGGTGAACATAAACAATTTCTTTCTTGCCGTCTTTAGTTGTACACACGTGTATGTGTGTGTGGGCGTGAGTGCGCATGTGTGCGTGTTGGTGTGCGAGGGCAAACGAGCATTGACTACTTGCCAGCCTGCTTGACTTCTGCACATGCAACATGTAACAAAAACAACATAGAAGAGCGTATAAATGCTAAGTGAAAGAACCTAATATAATTTTAGGCGCTTAACAATAGCAAACGTTGCTCTGAGTGCTGTGGGTGGAATTGTAGCTGAGGAATGGTAATAAAGAACGTAAATCGTGCGAGGATAAGAAGAAATTGGCCCGTTTCCAGCGTTGCAACTGCGGCTGTGTTTGTTGATTTCCTTTGTTGTTGTTGTCGCATGCTTGAAAAGGCAAAATATTTACACCTCTCGAGCGCTCAAGTTCTCAAGCAGTTCAAAAGAGCTGGCAGGCATGAAAAGCGTACGAAAAAAGCGCAAAACGGAAAGTATGAGACGGTATGAGATGCAAAATACATTGCTGTGTATGAGTGTGCTGAGTATGTGCGCGTGTGTGTATGTGTTTGGGGTGTTATATGAGTGCACATTAGGCAAGCAGTCGAGTACTTATTGCTCACTTAAATTTATGCAAGCAAAAAAATTTGCAAATTTATCGATTGAAGGTAAAACAAACACACAAACTGCAGAGAAACGCCCAAAAGCAGACTACGATTCTTAGAAAGCGAGCACTATGCAAGATGTTGATTACTTAAAAGCATTGACCAGCAGGCGGTGCAAACCAGTAAAGGATATATAATTAATTAGAAAAAGATAATGACATAAAAATGCAATTAGCACGCTGCCAGCGGCAGACGGACGCTGCAACGAATGTAAAATGAGGCGCGGCAGCGTAAAGCAAACTTGCAGAACACACAGTCACTGCTGCTGCCAGCAAGCATTAAATGAGCACAAAGCGCACAACAACAGTCACTGCATAGTGAGCAACAGCAAGCTGTACAACAACAACTACAACAATAATATAATATGATTACCCACGTCCGCAAACGGCTGCACCGCGCCTGCCACTGCCGCTGCCGTTGCCGTGTGGTGAAAGTGTATAATTTGCATATGTCAACAGTGCTGCGGTTGTGGACGCGCGCAATGCGGGGCAACAGCAACGATTTCGTGCATGAAAGGACAATGGAAATGCATTAAATGACATAAGCGGGCTTCGATGGCGCACAATCAAAGGCACACACACACATGCATACACGTATATAAATGTGATATATGAGCGCTTTTCATTTGCTTTCATATAAAATTACACATATATATACAACATACAAGCAACACTCGTGTGTATGTATGTGTGTGTTAAGTAAAAGTAGCGTTGTTGTTTGTCAAACAGGATATGAAGCTGGCCGTTGCCTGTGTTGCCTAGGTTGGTTGCCTAGCTGTTCGCTTGACTGAATAAACGCTTTCCGTGCATGTATGCGTGTGTACCATGTGTTATGGTATGTGTTAGCGCTGATGTGTTGTATTTGTAGGTAAAATAATTATAATTGATTTGCACACAAGATCCCGCAGAGCAAGAGCTAAGTGTGATGTGAGGCAGTGACAGCAGCAAAAGTGGATACAAATTGGTGTGGAAGTGGCAAAGCCGGTGGCTGCAAGGCTACAAATACGCTGTGGAAATTTGCTGAAGTACTCTTTACGGCAAGAAGTGCTATAAAATCTCTTTATCTTGATTTTGATGGGTCAGTTTGTATTACAGCTATATGCTATAATGGTTCGATATCGGCGAAAGAAAAAGATCTTTGCAAACTTACAGATTTATATCACAATAAATCACAAAACTTGAAGGATAAACGCAAGTTAACATTTTCTCTTGTTTATGTGTAATTTTTCCTGCTGGGTAGCTCATATTCACGCTCCTCTATAAATAAAAAATTTATATTACTGTTGTTATTGTACCGGCAATGTAATAATGGTCAGTCAGAGATCACAGATATACGGGCAACAAAAGCGAAATATGAAATAAAAAGTTGAAAACAACAACAATAACAGCAATAACATGGTAGCAAGATAAAAATGCAATAATAAATGAAAAATACAAAATGTAGCTGGATAAAGTGGAAGTTGGCAGCGTCAGCTAGAACAACGAAACGCTGTCGTCAATGAATCATGTTGGGTAAGGGGGGGTGGTTGATGCTGAGAGCGGGACGGCAAGCTGAAAATACGGAAACGCCATTTTGCCAAACTGGAAAAACGAGCGGATGTTGAAAATCGATTGGCAAGGCTAACTGTGAAGGCAGAAAGGCGAAAGCGCCAGCAATTGCAGGGGGCAAAAACGAACGCTCAGCGTTGGTTAGAGCAGCTGAAAATTGGCAATGGAAGTAGAAGTGGAAGAAGATTTCAAAATACAACTGTGGAAAGAGGGTTGCAGCGGCTGTGCGATGGACGGAAATGCAATAGCCGGGAATAACGAGAATTCTGCAGTGAAGCAGAAGCAGGCGAAGAGTGGAGGGCAGGGATGGTGCAGGCAGAGGCAGCGCCGTGCATAGCGAAGCCTTGTGGCTGCGAGCTGCATGTGAAATATTGTTTTGCAGTTACTTTGTTGTAGGTGTGGTTAGCTTTCTGCTTTGCCGAGCGTGTGTATGTAAAAATTTATATGTGCATGTATGTATATACATATACATATGTCCTTTGATTCACTA